GTTGTTCCTGTGATTCTGCAGTACAAATATCCTGTCCTAGCCGCCCGACGCCTAAGTAGGTCGTTCAGCTGTTATCCTTGTTTACAGGTCGTAACATCAGGTCCCCTCTCCAAAGGTCTTATCCTCAAGACCTAACATAAGTAGGTCGTTAGTCCCAGGTTGGGGATCTATCAATCATGCCTCCTGATTTACTCATGATGCTGACATTATGTCAGGTCGCATTCAAAAGTCGAAGCAATCTAAGTCAGCACTTCGTTCTGCTTGTGAAGACGTTTTCCATCGGTTTGGTTCTGACGACGTCATGCCTTGCACTTGTTGTTTCCGTGCGAAGCGTACGTGTCAGATGGCGGAGGGTGCGAGAACTTATCAGGGTTGTAAAAACCTAAAGCGTCCTTGTGATGGTTTAGTGGTTGCGTCGAGTCGTGAGTTCACTATGTCTTGTGGGTGTTCGTCATGCTGATTGGTCGTAGTAAAAAGGCTGAGTGATCAGCGTCAAGAATAGGAAGAGAAAGAGGAGCAGGCTAGCGATGCGCTGCTGGATCTTCATGAGAAATTAGCGTGGGTTCAGGCTGAAGTGGCTGAAGCGGCTGGTTGTTTGTCGCGGATTTGTGCGATTTGAAAGAAGGTGAAGGAGCGTTATATAGAGACGTTTTCTCGGGGAATGCAGGAGTTGGAGGAGGATGATGTTCTTCCTGTATTGGATGCTCACGAGAGTGGTGTGGTTGGTGATCTTCAGTTTCAGGGTGTTGAAAACAATCCGGATTGGGCGAGTTTCGGTATTAGCGAGGAGTTCGCGGACCTTGGTCCTCTACTGGGGGACTTGCAGTTAGTGTCTTCCGGGGGTTCTTAGTTTTTGGGTGTTCCTAGGCGAATAAACGGTTTTCCTTGTCGCGGTCTGTCTGCTTCCGTTGGTGGTCTGATATGTCTGTGTGGGTGTCTGATGCGTTAGTAACCTTGAGTGTTTGTCAGGGGTGGTATCGTTGATGCTGTTAGCGTTATTTCTCGCTCTTAGTGTTATTGCCAGTAGGTTGTGAGTTTGTCCTTTGCGTTGGTGATGTTTTTGGCTGGTTCCTATATGTTGTCTTTATGACTATATCCTTTCCACTTGATGAGGTATTAGTAACCCTCTGGTTCTTCGAGGTGGTCGATAATCTATTTGACTTTGTACTCTGGTTTATTGTCTTCCACAATAATAAGGTCGTTTGTCTGTGATCCTTATGGTGCTGGTTTGAGTAGTGAGACGTGAAATATTGGAAAACATTTCATTATGTTAGGTAGGTTGAGTTCGTAGTTGACTGGTGAAATTTTTCGGAGGATTTTGAAAGGTCTGAGTTTCTTGAAATCTAGTTTGTCACTTGGTCGTTTTGTTTTGATGTTTCGCCGTATAAGATAGGCGCTATCTCCCTCTTTTAAGGTTAGTCCCTCAATCCTTCGTTTGTTGCTGAAATATGTCATTCGTTGTCGTACAAATTTGAGTTCTTTGCGTGCGTTATCTTAGATATCCTTAATTTGTCTAATTGTAGCGACAGCTTTTAGTGCTGCTGGGCCAGGTCGGGGTTCTCCATAGGCGGTTGGTTCGAATCCGTAGTTGAGGTAGAAGGGGGATTCCTTAGTGCTTTCTCCTACTGCGCTGTTGTAGGCGAATTAGGCTATTAGTAGTAGTACTACCCAATTGTCTTGGTTGTAATTGACATAGGCGTGGAGGTAGGTTTTAAGGATCTGGTTGATTCGTTCTGTTTGTCCGTCGGTCTGCGGGTGAAAGGCAGTAGACACTGCTTGCTTGATGCTAAGTTGTGATGTGATCAACTTCTAGAACTTAGAAGTGAAGATCTTATCTCTGTCTGACATAATCTCCTTAGGTGTTCTGTGGTTAGTGATGATATACTTGAGGAATATGTAGGCGAATTCTTCGGCGTTACTTGCTTCCTTATATAGGATGAAGTAGGCATACTTCATGAGTCTGTCGACAATAACGAGAACGCTGTTATAGTAGACTCCCATAAGGGGTTCTCAAGACTTCAGTAGCTTGACGATAAAGTCGAGGGATATAGAGTGCTAGGCGGTTTGCGGCACAGGCAAAGGTTGTAACAATCCATAAGGTTGGTGTCAAGCTGGTTTGCTTTTCAGGCAAACCTCGCAATCCTTAATCGCTATTGCGACATGTTCTCTAGTGACCTTTTCTCTATATTGTTGTCGTAGTTGTTTCTAGGTTTTCGCGATTCCTTGGTGACCATGTGCTGGTGCGCTGTGGAATTCCCTGATGGCTTCATCATCCAGTTCGCTAGGCGGGCTAGCCGTGGATCGTCCGGTCATCATGAGAGCTTTCGTGGCAGGCATAAGGTCTCCGTTATCGTTATGCTTGAGAATCACCTGGGTTTCTTTTGGTACTAGGACGTCATAGTCTGGTCGTCAGCTAAGCGCGTCGGCTCTGCCATTTTCCGATCCTTTTCGATAGATAATTCAGAAATTAAATTCTGAGAGGAATTCTGACTATCTGATTTAGCGTTTGTTGAGTTCTTTCGAAGTGGTGAAATATGCCAGGTTCTTATGATCGGTGTACACAAGTACTTAGTGGATGGTTCCCAAAAGTAGGGGTCTCTATTCCTTAAAGGCTTCGATGATTGCCATAAGTTCTTTATCATAGATCTGATAGTTGAGTTCTAGTCCGCAGAGCTTGCGGGAGAAGAAGGCGCAGGGATGCAGACGTCCTTCTGAGTCTCTCTGGGATAGTTATGCTCTGAGGGCGAAGTCTGAGGCATCTGTTTCGACTTCGAACTGTTCTTCTGGGTTTAGGATCATCAGGACTGGTTCGCTGGTAATGCGGTCCTTAATAGTCTGGAAAGCTGTGTTCTAGGCTTCTTTCCATTTGAATGGTTAGTCCTTGCGGCTGAGATCTATAAGGGATGCGTTAATCTTTCCGTAGAGTCCAATAAATTTTCAGTAGAAGTTGACGAATCTGAGAAATCCTTGGACTTCTTTGAGGTTGGTTGGTGTTAGCCATTCTTATATAGCTTAGACTTTCTTTTTTGATATGCTGATATGTCTGGGGGTGATTATAAATCTAAGGTATTCCACCTCTTAGGTGTGGAATATGCTTTTTTCTGGTTCGACCAGGAGCTTAGCGTCTTGAAGGGCTTAGAGTATGAGGTGTACATGCTCCTTATGCTGTTCTATTATCTTAGAGAAGATAAGGATATCGTCGAGGTAGATAACTATGAAGATGTCCACAAATTTCCTAAGAACCTGGTTAATCATGTTCTAGAAAGTGGCTAGGGCGTTAGTGAGACCGAAAGGCATAACGAGGTACTCAAAATATCCTTTGCGTGTTCTGAAGGCAGTCTTCTATTCTTCTCCTTTCTTTATTCAGATGAGGTTATAGGCACCTTTAAGGTCTAGTGCTGTGAAGTAGTTAGCTCTATAGAGGAGTCGTTATAGTTTGTCAATTAAGGGTAATAGGTACCAGTTTTTAATCGTTATTTCGTTAAGCATTCAGTAATCAACATATAGTCGTAGTTTACTATTCTTCTTTAGTACAAACAGGATTAGGCTTCCTGCTGGTGATGTTGATTCTCTGATGTAGCCTTTTCTGAGGTTCTCGTCGAGGTATTTATCGAGGGCTTCTATCTCTATTAGGTTGAGTCTGTAAATTTTGTTGAATTTAGGCTCCTTCCCCTCCTTAATGGGGATTTCGTGATCGAAATTCGTATATTTAGGCAGTCTGGTTTCTAGTTCGGCTGCAAAGAGTTTCTCGTAAACTCTGTATTCTTCTGGGATAGACAGAAGTGGATCGTTCTTTTGTTTGAGATCTATTATCTTTAGTGGTCGTGAGACAGCTTCTTTTGCCTTGAGGTAGCAGATATATCGTTTTGCTGCTCCTTGGTGGGTGGATCTGTTTGAGGCCTGGGTTCTACAGGGCTGCTCAGGGACTAGATCGTCGTTATCCTAATGGAGTTGGCCTGTTCTCCAATCTATCCGTGGGTTGTTCTTCTCAAGCCATGGTATTCCTAACATAATGTCGTATGTACCAAGTTCGGCAATGTCGAATTGGAGTTGTTCGTTTCGATCCAGGTAACTCATCTCGAGGGGCGCAGTCTCGTTTTTGATGGTTCCTCCTTCGTACTGGACTTATTCTCCTTCTATGTTGTTGAGCTGGTATATATGTTCTTTTTTCTGCCATAGTAGTTGTAGTCTGTTCACCGCTTGTGGTGATATGAAATTTATTTCGGCTCCGCTGTCGATAAGCGCGATAGTTGTGATGTTGTTAATAGTGACTGCTAATTGCAGGTGCACTTTCTGGTCTAGGGATGCTAGACAAATGGACCTTGTCGTTGTTGCCTGTCTCGGTCTGTCGTCGGTAGGTGAGTCTAGTTTTTTGACTGCTCTGGTTGTCTGGGGTAGGTGATCTGTTTTCCTTCCCGTCGTGCCTTCGTGAGGTGATTCTCTTGGGATCTGAGCCTTGGGGGGCTCGGTCCTTCTTATAGGAGTCTGTAGGCCTTGGCCTTCTGGGCTGCATGGATGAGGCAATCATCCTTTTAGCATTCTTCCTATTTCATGTTCTTGTCGTGTTGGCACCTCATGGGGTACTGAGGGCTTAGCCTGAAGGTTGCTAGGTAACTGTTGAACATAATCATCGTCTATCCGATTATGGTGTGGGTAGTGTAGATTTCCGTGATAGGGTCGTCGCTGTGTATCCTAAGGTAGAGCTGGTGCTCGTGCTTGTCGCCTATATATTCCTTGCATTTGTCGAAGATGTATTAGGGCCAGAAAAGGGTCCAATAGTGTTGGTGTTAGGCGTAGAGGGCCGGATGGTCCTTCACGTGCAATTGGGGGGTATAGTCCTTGTTCCTTTGGTTTGCTGGGACACTATAGAAGTGCCGTTGTTATTTGTCTTGAAGGGGGTTAACTTCCTGGTATTAGGTGAGTTATCTAATTTTTTCTTCGTCTTCAGGTTCCTCTTCGGAGCTAGTGTCGTCAGCTCCTGGGATTGGTCCGTTGTAGTGTCATGCGTTCCAGTTAGCGACGTCGGCGGGAGAGTTGGAGTCGTAGGGGATCCCATCCGAATCGAAGCTGGATTCAGGTTCGCCGAAGTTCCAGCCGCTGGTTAGGCGAAGTAGCTGTTGTTCTTCCAGGGGGTCGTATTGGTGTTCAGGTTCTTCGTCGGATTCCTCCTTGGTCTCGAATTCCTTGATTCGATTTGTTTCGTACTGAATCCGTGCTTCAGAGTCCTTGATCCTTTGTCGGGTTTCTTGATTGTAGCCCATAGGGTTGTCGTGAGTGGTTTGTCTTGGTGTGTTGGTGACACGCGGGGTTGGTGAGCCTACTGGCTCGAGCTGCTGTACTCGAAGCATTTCATCAAGTTATTCAGTGGTCTTTCGAACCATCTTGCTGTTCGCTCGTGAGGCCATCGCAAGGGTCTTTGTTTTGACCTCTGGGATGGTCATGTCGTAACCTATTCTTCCGCAGTCTGGGTTGCTAGGCTAGTGTCCTGTAGCCTCCTTATCGCTGCGGTGGGTGAAGCATTCGTCGTTATAGCATCCGGTCTATGACAGGGATGCGTGAGGCGTTTTGGTTGCCATGCTGACTTGCTTAGTCCGTTTGGGTATAGGTTTCCAGCTGAGCTTCTTAGGTTGTCTGCAGTCTTTGGCGATATATCCTATTTTTTCGCAGTTGTAACACTTAGGGTTCTATGGTTTCTTGCCGTCGTTCTTTGTGGCGGCGCTGAGATCTATAGGTCCGCTGTGTTATCTGTAGGAAGTGCTTTGTCGAGTGTTGTTCCAGTTGTTGCGGGGTTTGTTGTCGTTCCGCTGGTTGTTAAACTTGTTTTGAGGCTGCTATTAGTACCTGCGTCCTGAGTTTAGGTTCTGTCGTTTCTCTCCTCGTTCCCTTCGTCGTTCGAAGAGTCGGTTGTCGATTTTGATGGCGAGTTTGGCGTACTGGAGGAAGTCTTCTGGTCGATCGATCTTAACGATCTCATCTTTGACTTCGTCCTTAAGTCCTTGATAGAACATGAAGATCTTGGTTTCTTCGGTGAGATCAAGTTGAACGCTGAGTTGTCTGAAGTTGGCGGAGTAGTCTTTGGCAGACTTGGTCTGTCTGAGCTGGGCGAGGTTGCGCTCAGCTTGCCGTTTTTCGTCGGGGTCTTAGAAGAGCGACCTGAGTGCGTTCTCAAATCCTTAGAAATTGGCGTAGATGTCGCGGGTTTCCGTGGAGCACTCGTCGAGGGTCTCATATTTGAGGTACTCTTCCTAGATTAGTTCGAACCACTTAAGGGCTCTCCCTCTGAGGTAGGTGGCTGCATGCACCACTTTCTCAGTTCTATTAGTGAAGTCTCCATAGTGGAAATTCTGGTAGTTCTTAACCTAAATCAGGAATCCCTTGAGCGTTCCTAGGGTTCCATCATAAGTAACCAGGGTGCTGAGCTTGAGCTTCTGTCGTCCTCCGACGGGGGTAGTAACAATGTTGGCGGCAGCCTGGAGGGTGTTAAGTTCTTCCTGGAGTTCTTAAACCTTTTTGAGGTTGGCGTCTCTTCTGATGTCTTTCTCAAGTTTTTTATATGCTTATCCGGCGTTCTAAAGTTGCTCGTTAAGGTTGTTCATAGCTTGCTTGCTTTTGTTGACGAAGGTTTGCATCTCCTTAGACTCAGCGTCTTGTTTCTGGATGATGCGTCGAAGTTTTTCGTAACCTTCCTTGGTGAAGGAGCCTTCTCCGTCGGAGTCGTACTTGAGGTCCGGCATGTCGTAGTCTTCGACGCTGGCAAGTTCCTGCGCCAGATTCTGGGGCTGGTTGCGCGAGGAAGATGAAGATCCCAGGGTAGGGGACTTGGCTGAAGCGTGAGAAGACATGCTTATCGTTTTACTGTTAGTAGGTGTTAATGGTCAACTTACTGAACAGGAGCAATCAAAGTGTTACGGTCAGCTATCCGACAGTAAGGTCTGCTAACAGAAGCTAGGGATTAACACATAGTAACAGTACACTAGGGTCGTGGTCTAGGTCGTAGGTCATAGGCTGTATCGTAGATCGGTAGTCAGAGGCTAAGGTGATCAATCTTAGACTCAACAAGTATTCGCAGTAAAGGTAAGCTGAAAGTATCCTGAGGATGAATACAAAGTTGATTGCTGGAGAGCTATAGGAGTCTGACCATAAGCCAGGCTCAGGTCATACTATATATAAGTCTGAACAGTACCCTTTATCTTATTACCATTCCTAATCCTGACGGGGTCCGTTCCTTGATCATACGGGGCCCGTATATGTCAAGGACGGTCTCCGTATTCTTGGCGTACGGATCTAATCTCTTATCTTATCATCACGTGACTTATACTATCGTTCTTCCGTTTCCGAGTGAGTCCCTGTTGTTCCCATGATTCTGCAGTACAAATGTCCTGTCCTAGCCGCCTGACGCCCAAGTGGGTCGTTCAGCTGTTATCCTTGTTTACGGGTCGTAACATTTAGTTGCTAGCACTAGGTCTCCGTTATTATTTCCTTTGAGAATCACTTAGGTTTCTTTAGGTACTAGGATGTTATAGTCTGGTCGTCAGCTAAGAGCGTCAGTTCTGCTATTATCTGATCCTTTGCGGTAGATGATTTAGAAGTTGAATTCTGATAGGAATTCTGACTATCTAATCTGTCGTTTATTTAACACTTTTGAAGTTGTGAAGTGTGAAAGGTTCTTATGGTCTGAATATATAAGTACTTCGTAGGTGGTTCCTGAGAGCTTAGGTCTCTATTCCTTAAAGGCTTCGATGATTGCCATGAGTTCCTTATTGTGAACCTGATAGTTGAGTTCAGGTCTGTGGAGCTTGTGAGAAAAGAAGGCATATAGGTGTAGTCGTCCTTCTGAATCTTATTGAGATAATTATGCTCCTATCGCATAGTTAGATGCGTCAGGTTCTACTTCGAACTGTTTTGTTGGATCTGGAATGCTTAAGACGGGCTCGCTAGCGATTAGGTCCTTGATCTTCTGGAATGCTGTTCGTTATGGTTCTTCCCATATAAAGGGCGTGTCTTTATGGCTGAGGCTTATGAGAGCTGCGTTGATCTTGCCATAGTCTTTGATAAATTTGCGGTAGAAGTTGACGAAACCTAGAAATCCTTAGACTTCCTTGAGGTTGTTAGGTACCAGCTATTCCTTAATAGCTTTAACTTTGTTTTCTGACATATATACTTTTCCAGGGGTGATAGTGAATCTGAGGTATTCTACCTTCTGTGTGTGGAATTCGCTTTTCTCAGGTTTAACTAATAGCTTAGCTTCTTAGAGGGCTTATAAGACGTGGTGTACGTCTTCCTTATATTTCTCAAGTGTTAATAAGAAGATAAGGATGTCGTCAAGATAGACTACTATATAGATGTTGACGTATTTGCGTAAAACTTAGTTGATCATATTTTGGAATGTTGCAGGGGCGTTAGTGAGGCTGAAGGGTATGATGAGGTACTCAAAATATCCTTTTCAGGTTCTGAAAGCAGTCTTCCACTCTTCTCCTTGCTTCATTCTGATCAGGTTATAGGCTTCTTTGAGGTCGAGGGCTGTGAACCAGTTAGCTCTATAGAGGAGTCGTCTCATCTTGTTGATAAGCAGTAGTAGGTAGCAGTTCTTAATCGTCATTTCGTTAAGCATGCGGTAGTCGACGTATAATCGTAGTTTTCTGTTCTTTTTAGGTACAAATAGGATTAGGCTTCCTGCTGGTGACGTTGAGGGTCTGATGTATCCCTTCTTAAGGTTTTCTTTAAGGTACTTATCTAGGGCTTCTATCTCTGTCTGGTTAAGTCTGTAGATTTTGTTGAAGTGTGGTGTTACGGTCAGCTATCCGACAGTAGGGTCTGCTAACAGAAGCTGGGGATTGATACGTTCTAACAGTACACTGGGTCGTGGTCGTAGGTCGTAGTTCGTAGGCTGTAGTAGATCGGGTCTTCAGAGGCTAAGGTGATCAGTCTTAGACTCAATAAGTGATTCGCAGTGAAGGTAAGCTGAGAGTATCCGTGAGGATGAATACTAAGTTGATTGCTGAAGAGCTATGGAAGTCTGACCATGAGCCAGGCTCAGGGTCATACTATATACAAGTTCTGAACAGTACCCTTTACTCTATCACTGATCCCTCATCAGGTACCAGTGAGCGCTCATTGACTGTTGGTGAGCGCTCAGTAACTCCGACTGAGCGCTCAGTGACCCACACTGCCTGCTCAGTCTTATCTTATCATCACGTGACTTGTATCATAGTTCTTCCGTCTCCGAGTGAGTCCCTGTTGTTCCCGTGATTCTGCAGTACAAATGTCCTGTCCTAGCCGCTCGACGCCCGAGTGGGTCGTTCAGCTGTTATCCTTGTTTACGGGTCGTAACATCAGGTCCCCTCTCCAAAGGTCTTGTCCTCAAGACCCAACATAAGTAGGTCGTTGGTCCCAGGTTGGGGATCCGTCAATCGTGCTTCCTGATTTACCCATGATGCTGACACCATGTCAGGTCGCGTTCCTGAAAATCCTGCGATTTCTACTCTTCGTCGTTATCGTCGTTCCTTTAACATTGCGGAGAACGGGTTCGAAGTCATGCCTTGTCGTCGCTGTCGGTCCAAGGGGTTGCGCTGTAAAATGCTGCCTGGTTCCTTGGTTTGCGGGGAGTGTGTCGCCGTGGGTGGCACTCGTCGCTCGTGCAATGCTTCCGACGATGCGATCTGTCAATGTTCGTGTAGTTCCTGAGGCCCGTTGTGTCTTTGTTCATGCTAATTCATGTGTAGTGGAACGTTTGATGGTTGAGTCTCGGCGTTTGGACGATGAGGAGGAAGAAACCGAGGAACTGTTTCGAAAGAGAATGGAGGTGCTGCAGAAGGCGCAGGCTGAAGTGAATGAGGCGCTTGCGAAACTGGATCGTGTCCGCAAGGCTAAGCGGATGGTGTTCAAAAAGGGCCGCAAGGAGACTTTGGTGGTGGCTGAAGAGGAGGGGGCAGCGAGTCCTTCCCTTGTTGAGTCTTCCTTGGTCCTTGAGGCGCGGTCGGTGGGCGCTTTTGGTGCGATAGACCTGGATACCGTTCTTGGCGATTGGAATCCGGGCACTCCAAACTTTTTATCGGAGGCGCCTTAGTTGATTCCTGGTGTCCCTAGGCGGATAAACGGTTTCCCTTGTCGCGGTCGATCGGTTTCAGTGTGTGGTCTGGTGAAGCGATGTGGGTGTCTAATTCGTTTATATCCAGCGCTCTTTTGGACCAGTGCAACAGGTGTTGGTGTGGCTTCTCGTTCTTGGTGTTGCTGCCAGTAGATCGTGAGTTCTTCTGCTGCGTTGGTGATGTTTTTGGCTGGTTCCCATGTGTTGTCTTCGTGTCCGTATCCTTTCCATTTGACGAGGTATCGATACCCTTCTGGTTCTTTGAGATGGTCGACAATTCGTTCCACTTCATACTCTGGTTCGTTATCTTCGACGATGATAATATCGTTTGTCTGTGATCCACGTGGTGCTGGTTCGAGGAGTGAGACATGGAATACTGGGTGACACTTCATGGTTTCTGGGAGTCCTAGTTCGTAGTTGACTGGTGAAATTACTCGTGAAATTTTGAAAGGTCCGAGTTTTTTATAGTCGAGTTTGTCGTTTGGTCGCTTTGTCTTGATGTTTCGCCGTATGAGATAGGCGCTATCTCCCTCTTTTAAGGTTGGTCCCTCAATCCTTCGTTTGTTGCTGAATTTTGTCATTCTTTGTCGTACGAATTCGAGTTCTTTGCGTGCGTTTTCCTGGATATCCTTGATTTGGCGTATTGAGGCGACAGCTTTTACTGCAGCTGGGCCTGTTCGGGGTTCTCCATAGGCGGTTGGTTCGAATCCATAGTTGAGGTAGAAGGGGGATTCCTTGGTACTTTCCCCTACTGCGCTGTTGTAGGCGAACTGGGCTATTGGTAGCAATACAACCCAATTGTCTTGGTTGTAGTTGACGTAGGCGCGGAGATATGTTTCGAGGATTTGGTTGATTCGTTCTGTTTGTCCGTCGGTCTGCGGGTGGAATGCAGTGGACATTGATTGTTTGATGCCGAGTTGTGATGTGATTGACTTCCAGAATTTGGAAGTGAAGATCTTATCTCTGTCTGATATAATTTCTCTGGGCGTTCCGTGGTTGGCGATGATATATTTAAGAAATGTGTAGGCACATTCTTCGGCGTTACTTGCTTCTTTGTACGGGATGAAGTAGGCGTACTTCGTGAGTCGGTCCACAATGACAAGAACGCTGTCAAAGTGTGTTCCCGTAAGGGGTTCTCGAGACTTCGGTAATTTGACGATGAAGTCGAGGGATATGGATTGCCAGGCGGTTTGCGGCACAGGCAAGGGTTGTAGCATACCATAAGGTTGATGTCGAGCGGGTTTGCTTTTGAGGCAAACCTCACAATCCTTGATTGCTTTTGCCACTCGTTCTCTGGTGACTTTTTCTCCATATTGTTGTCGTAGTCGTTTCCAGGTTTTCGTGATTCCTTGGTGACCGTGTGCAGGGCGGGCATGGAACTCCTTAATTGCTTCGTCGTCTAGTTCGTTAGGCGGGCTAGTACTAGATCGTCCGGCCATCATCAAGAGTTTGGTTGCTGGCACTAGGTCTCCGTCGTTGTTTCCTTTGAGAATCACCTGGGTTTCTTCAGGTACTGGGACGTTGTAGTCCGGTCGTCGGCTAAGAGCGTCGGCTCTGCCATTGTCTGATCCTTTGCGATGGATGATTCGGAAGTTGAATTCTGATAGGAATTCTGACCATCTAATCTGTCGTTTATTCAACACTTTTGAAGTCGTGAAGTGTGAAAGGTTTTTGTGGTCTGAATACACAAGTACTTCGTGTGTGGTTCCTGAGAGCTCGGGTCTCCATTCCTTGAAAGCTTCGATGATTGCCATG